CGACCCGTTCTTTCACTGACGCGCGTCGTGTGCGTTGCCCAGGGGCGTACACGACGCACAGCTTCGTGTGCCGGCTGGGGCTGACGTCGTTCGACCAGATCCCCGAGCAGCTGGCCGAGTTCTGCTACGTGGAGTTCACGATGCCGGCCACGCAGGTGTCGCACACCACGGTGCGCTCCGTGTCGCTGGCCAACGCCGCGCGCGACGACCCGCCCGAGAAATACGTGCGCTACCTGGCGCGCCACGAGTACAGGTGAGCCACGCCCCCCGCCCCCGCTCGCGCACCGGCTGCACACGGGAGACAGACAGACACGGATACAGAGAAGGGCTTTAACAGGAGGAGGGACAGGGAGAGACAGAGGGGCGCAGAGGGAGAGACAGAAAGAGCCAATGACTGAGTGAGAGAGGAGAGAGAGACAGAGAGACGCAGAGGGAGAGACAGAAAGAGTCAATGGCTGAGTGACGGAGGAGAGAGACACAGAGGGAGAGACAGAAAGAGTCAATGACTAGGGAGAGAGGAGAGAGACAGAGAAACACATAGGGAGAGTCAGAGAAGGACTTTGAGAGAGTAAGAGAGGCCAAGCGGAAGAGACAGAGAGGGACAAAAGAGAGACATGAAGGTAGAATGAGAGAGACAAAGGTGGAAACCCACAGGGACTAAGACAGAAGAGAGAGGGAGAGAGAGACACACAAGTCATAGGGAGAAAGAACGTGAGGCACAGAGAGATACACAGAGAGGCAGTGCCACAGAAGGAGAGACAGAGATAATGGCTGAGGGAGAGAGGAGAGGGAGACGCAGGAGAGACAAAGATACAATGACTGAGGGAAGGGTGGGGGCAGAAACTTATATTGACAGACCGTGGGGAACAAATACTGAGGCAGATACAGAGGGAAAGACGGAAAATCACAGAGAGAGAGAGACACACACACAGAGGGAGAGAATAGGAGAGATCGTGAGTCAGAAGAGGGCAAAAGCAGAGGGAGAGACGGAGAGAGACAGAGGGTTGCGACATTGCAGGACTTTGATATAGGAAGAGAGAGTCAGAGAGGCCAAGAAGGGCAGAGGGACAGACAGGGACAGAGAAGCACAAAGAGAGAGACAGCGGGACTAAGAGTGAAAGACAAAGACAAAAGGAACAGCACAGAGGGAGAGGTAGTGAAGGATTTTGATATATGGGGATAGAGTCAGAGAGACCAAGAGGAAGATACAAAGAAAGAGACAAACACAGAGATTGAGCCACAGGAGGACAGATTCAGATCGTCAATGAGTAATACAAAGAGGTACAAAGAGAGATACGAAGACAAAGACAGAGAGGAACAGAGAAAGAGAGATCAAGAGGTATTAAAACACAGGGAGATAGATGGGCACAAATTTAATAAAGTATTGAAACCATCTGAACTAGTAGCTGTTAGACTAATTTTATTTCACTGCCTCTATTACTATTATTCATTTTACATGCATACTTAATGACAATACAATGTGCGGGAGAGTGGGTATCGATCACGCGAAGGAAGAATCAAAGACATAGACAGAGAGAGGCCAATGACAGAGGGACAGAGGGAGAGACATAGAGGGACAGAGACAAAGACAGAGGAAAGAGAAGTTCAATAAAGTATCGAACTCTTCTGAACTATTTTACCCGCTACTACCTAATTGTTTAATGCACTCTCTTTAGATGTAGGTGTCCGTCTTAATGCCAATGCGTGTGTGTGTGTGTTGGCAGGGTGGGCATCGAGCTCACAAAGCATGAATCAAAGACAGTGGGAGAGAGAGAGAGAGCTAGAGAAGCACATAGGACGAAGGTTGGACAAATAGAGAGAGAGAGAGAGACAGACAGACAGACAGACATACAGACAGTCATCAAGACAGAGGGAAAGACAGAGAGGGACAGAGACAAAGGCAGAGGAAAGAGACACAAAGGGAGAGACAGAGATGACAGAAAGGGACAGTGTTCATTAAAGTATTGAACTCTTCTGAACTATTTTACCTATTACTACCTAATTGTTTAATGCACTCTTTTTGGATGTAGACGCCTTAACGCCAATGCGTGTGCGTGTGTGTTTTGGCAGGGTGGGCATCGAGCACACGCAGGGCGAATTAATGACAGAGGGAGAGACAGCTAGAGAACCACGTTCGAAGAGGTTTGGGCAAATATATATATATCAAGACAGAGGGATAGACATTGAGGGACAGAGACAAAGACTGAGGAAAGAGACACAAAGGCAGAGACAGAGGGAAGGACAGACAGAAAGGCACAGAGGAAGAGACAGAAACAGTGTTCAATAGAGTATTGAACTGTTATACCTGCTACTACATCATTGTTTATAGCACTCCCTATAGATGTGGGTGTCCGCAGATCCTTAATTCCAATGCGCGTGTGCGTGCGTGTTGTGGCAGGGTGGGCATTGAGCACACGCAGGGCGAATTAATGACAGAGGGAGAGACAGCTAGAGAACCACGTTGGAAGAGGTTTGGGCAAATATATATATATATAGTATATATATATAATATATTTTGCCAAATATATTTATAATATATATGTTTTAAATTTATATATATCAAGACAGAGGAAGCATAAGAGAGAAGACAAAAGACTGCAGGAAAGAGACACAAGGCAAAGAGACAGGAGAAGGACAGACAGAAAGGCCAGAGGAAAAACAGCACCAGTGTTCATAGAGTATTGAAACTTTTATACCTGCTACTACTCATGTTTATTACACTCCTTTAGATTTTGTGGTGTCAGCAGAGCGCTTAATTCCAAGGCGCCGTGTGCGTGCGTGTTTGTTGTGAGGTGGGCTATCGAGCACACGTGCAGGGCGACGGCCCGGGCGGTACGGGCGGGCGACCATCGTGAAGGCGCACCGGCGCCGGAGCCGGTGGCCGAGGAGCCCAGCGGCGCCCGCGGCGCGCGACGACGACACTTCACAGCGGACAGCGACTTCGGCTGAGCGGCCCGCCCCCGCGCCGCGCGCGCCGTCCGCCACGCCAGGAGCACACCGCACCAGCGCACAGCACACGCGCACAAGCGCAGGGAAGCACACAGAGCTGACATCCTCCAACGGGCGAGCGCACACCACGGCAGAGCACAGAGGCACACAGCACACGACGCCACACCAAGGTGAGGCAACGCACCAGCACACGGCACACATCACACACGCCTAAGCCGCCAACTGAAGCACACGCGCACCAGCGACACGCACCAGCCCAACGCAGTGTGAACACGAAGCAAAGATCACTGGCCACAGCGCCTCGCCACCGGGTGAGCACAAGGCACACACGCAAGGCGAGCACACGGTTAGACACACAGCGCACAGCACACACCCTTAAAGCGCAGCGACACGCAGCACACAGCGCCGCGCCGCGCCTCGCACGCAGGTGAGCACACCGCACCACGCGACAGCACCCGCGCCAAGCGCAGGTGAGCACCAGGCACATCACGCCAAGCGTAGGGACACGAAGCACAAGCACACTTGGCACACACCCACGCCAGGTAGACACAGCACACACGCAGGCGAGCAACCGTTTCGAGCACACGGGACGCGCACACAGGCGCACAGCACACACCTCATCGCAGGAGTCACGCAGCACACAGCCCGCCCCGCCGCGCGCCACCGCAGAGGAGCACACAGCACACACGCCAAGCGCCGGAGGAGCGGCAGCACAAGCACACTGGCACACGCGCGCCGGCACCGAGCGCTCGCACGCAGGTGGAGCACACCGCACCAGCATACACGCCAAGCGCAGGTGAGCACACGACCCGAGCATATAGACGCACAGGCACACTACTCACTCGCCATGCGCAGGCGAGCACACGGCGCAAGCACACTGGCATACAGCGCTGCGCCCGCCACTCGCCACGCCAGGTAAGCACACGGCATGAGCACACAGCCACAGACACACTCGAGCAAAAGCACACAGCACTCTCGGCACGCGCAATTGAGCACACGGCCAACGGCACACTCCGGCCGAAGCACATCGCACACACACCAAGCGCTACGCTACGAGCCAGATGAGCACACGGCACAAGCACACAGGCACACACGCCAAGCGCAGGTGAGCACGCAGCACAGGCACACAGCCAGCGACACACTTCGGCCGAAGCACATAGCATACCGCACATAGCATGCCAAGCGCAAGTGAGCACATATTACAAGCAAACAGCCAGCGGCACACTCGAGCAAAAGCACACACGACACGCGCAAGTGAGCACACGGCCAACAGCACACTCCGGCCGAAGCACATCAGACACTCACACACACACACACACACACACACACACACACCAAGCGCCGCGCCACGCGCCAGGTGAGAACACGGCACAAGCACACAGACACACACGCCAAGCGCAGGCGTGCACACGGCACATGCACAGCCAGCGGCACACTCCGGCCGAAGCACATAGCACACAGCACACCAAACGCAGGTGAGCACATAGTACAAGCATACATCCAGCGGCACACTCCGGCCGAAGCACATACTCGTAGCACACACGGCACGCGTAGGTGAACACGCTGCCCAAGAACTCAGCCATTCTCACATAGCACAGAACAAGGAACACTCTGGCAAAAGCACAGGACACACTAAGGCGAAAGCTCCCAGCAAGCACGCCAGACGCCGTGGATCACATTGCCCAAGCATTCAGCCAGCGAGACACTCATCCCCTTGCACTAGAAACTTATGACCTAGCAAAATCACCTAGAACAATGTACACTCCGACAAAAAGCACACGGCACACCCGTCCGAAGCACACAGCACACTCCGGACAAAACACCCAATACACATGATGTCCCAATTCAGAACTCAGATGGCCAGATGGACTTCTTACAAACCCCGCAGCACCAGTTAACTCCTTGGCCTGTAGCCCAATGCGATGTGTGTGTGTGAGAGAGAGAGAGACAGAGAGAGAAAAAGAGAGAGACAGAGAGAAAGACAGAGAGAAAGAGAGAGACAGAGAGAGACACAGAGAGAAAGAGAGAGATAAAGAACGAGAGAGAGAAAGAGAGAGGTAAAGAATGAGAGAGAGAAAGAGAGAGAGAGTATCCATTCTCATCGCCCGCACGTGCGTATTTCTGCCTGCCCCAGGGCCGCTGCCGAGGCCCACACCGCACCTTGAGGCGCCTCCAGGGGCAAGTCGACAATACAACGCCACTCCACCGCACTCCACCCCCCGCCCCCCACCTTCGATCCCCCCCCTGCGCGGGGGCCACATCGGTGTACCCTCATCCCCGTCGCCCTGAGGACAGCCAGTGAACGCACACCGCACAACGACAGGTCAGGTCATCGGCCCTCTGCTAACAGAGGGCCGCAACATTGGATTTAAAAAAAAAGACCCGCTGTTGCTCCTTGCGACTGAAACGGGTCGATGTTTGCGACAATATCCAACAATTGAGACTTCGGGAACAAAAAACGACTACGATGGTGTTGAGAAAAAGTTCGTGCAAAGAGAGAGAGCTAAAGTTTAAGTTAAAACTCGGACTGCGACAAATAGTACTCAAAGAACTACGAACATCGAATCCATCTATAGTTCGTCCAGAAAAGTCCACAGCCTGCATACGTATTTTGCATTTAATTGTAGTTTTTACTGGATATTTCACCGTTTTTATTTTGTTACCGTTTTTATTTTGTTCTCGGTGTCTCAATTGTTGCATAAGTTGTAGAATCCCTTATTGGAGTTCATTGTTGCAGTTGTGTCCCGCCGGTTGTAACAATTAACAGCTGAGTCCATTCCAGGATTACCGTTTGGCACAAATGTGTAGTATGCTTTTGTTACTGCAGTGTTATTGCTTTCCAAGCGACAGTTGAACATTTTAACATCGTTTTCCATCCGAAAAAAGCAAAACGCTGCGGTGAGAAAAGCATAAATGTGTTAATGCCCGTTGCAATCCTCTAGAAGACTGGTATCCAGCAAGTAATGCGGATTGAAGTTTAATAGAAGCGAACGTTGATGATTAGACTTGGCTTTCCACGTGCACGAATTATTTTTCTTCTTCCATTCTAAAAGGCTTTGTTGCATTACCCTAGACTACATCTCCGTAGGAGACACGCTGGATAAGCTAGCAAGAAAAGTTCCTGCTGACTTTCTTTTAAATAGTATCTTTCTAGGAAAAACAAAGCTTTATTCACTTTCTCACCTTGACAATATCAGTTAGATCTGTAGATGTTTGGGCAAATCTAAAATATCGTTTGAATTATTCCACTTACACTTGCGGATATCTCCTCGGGCTCCCTCAGACAACCTTTAAAACTTATAGTCGAAGCGCACAATAGCAGGAGATCAAATATTGCAAACGGCAATTACAAATACGCAATTGCAAAAGTCGTGTGCACAGGGAGCCTAGAGCTGAGAGTGCTTGCAAAGGGCATCCACACAAAATCTCAACGTTGCAACGGCTGAAGGTACCTACTGCAACTTTGTTACTCAGAGTTTATAGTTTCAAACGCATTTTTTTTCATATTAGTGCAACGATATTATCCGAATATGAACTCTATAACTCACTGCTATTAAAATGTTAAAGTCATTTTAAGTTGTTCGTGATCTACAGTCCAAACTGTGTTGTAGTTAAAAAGATCTCATTCACGTACACAAATCTAAAGAAAAAGAAACATGATAG